TTTTCAGTGAAGGAGATTCATCTTTCCGTTTAATTTCCAGGTGGTTCAGGCTCCCGTCTCAGAGCCATCAATGGATTCCTGGGTCTCTTTGTTTGCGCCTGAACCTGGCACTACAATTAAAGACATGGACGTGGTTGGAGACCATTGTGTGTTGGTTGCAAGAACGCCAGTTAGTGAACTAGCTCTCATTGTGGTCCCCCTGATCCACCCCAAGAATGCATACATAGTACAGGTAATTATTACACAATTTCTTGCATACTTATGTGCTTGTTAGCGTTTGAGACTTTAACCACCTTTTGGTTGTTCTTAGTCTTTACTTTCTGTAATTTTATGGGTTTGTGGTTTAGTGTTATTAATATATTCTCAAAGCTTTTTATTTCTACACTCATGCTAAAGCTTCCATCCTGGGCTTGTGCCATTAAAACCAAGAAACCAAGCTTGGCTGACCAACAAAATATGCTAGAATTCCTGATATCATCTCCAGTCCATCCGCCGGTTCCATACTGTCTACACCCTGAGAATGAGCTCCTTTTATCAGGCACTGAAGATGGATCCTCCCCAGAGAACCAAGCTGATTATATCACTACGCGCTTGGAGGCCTGCAGCCAAGTGAGGAAACTTGAAATATAATTTGCGCAAATAATAAGACAATGTCAGCAGGGCTCTAAGCATTTAGCATTTATCACCATACAGAGAAGGGCATTTTGTGCTTCTTCATACATCATCACCTAACACAGAGGCGTATAATTGTAACAAATTTTATAGACTTATTTCTAGATAATTTACCATTAATTCCTTTAGTCTGAAAGCCCATCTCTGTGTGTTTTTGTAGGACGGTACCTTTGTGCCTGTGACATTGTTTCATACAGTACCTGTGGAGCATTTGAGACAGGCACCGCTGCTGGTCCATGTCTATGGTGCTTATGGCAGAGATCTTAACATGGAGTTCTACCCAGAGAAAAAAGTGATGCTGGAGCAGGGCTGGGCTCTGGCCTACTGCCATGTCAGGTATAATGTCACTCCTCTAGGAAGCTAACCAAACCCTGTTGGCTCAAAAAGTTATTTACTGATGAGAGACATGCTTTATATGACCAAAACCTTTACCTACGTTGTTTTAGGGAAATGATTGTCATCATAGGAGGCAAGTGAAATATGTAATTCAAACTTTGTGCTCCCCATGAGTTGAAGTAACTTGTTCTTTGCTTTTACACTCTGTAGAGGTGGAGGGGAGCGTGGCCTTTCTTGGCACAGACAAGCCTGCGTGGGAGGGAAGCGGAGAGGAGTTGAGGACCTCCAAGCCTGTCTCCATCACCTTTTCTCCTTAGGAGTCTCCTCTCCTTCTCTCACCGCTCTTACAGCCTGCAGTGCTGGGGCTGTGCCAGTGGGAGCTCTGTGCAACAGACACCCACTATTGATGCGGGCTGTCACCCTGCAGGTAAGAAATTAAATCGTTGGAGGTTTTGTGCTTAAACCCTGAACCATACAACATTGTTGTTAAATTTACCAAAATGATAAATATTCTTGACTGAGTCTTTCTATAGTTACTTGTAGTAAAAATGTGAGCTAAACACTTCCAAAACCACACCTTTTCCTGTTTTCAGGCTCCGTTTCTGGATGTGTTAGGGACTATGGAGGATCACAGCCTGCCTCTAACTTTAGAGGATAGAGATGAATGGGGGGACCCAGTGGGAAACCCAGAACACAGACATATCATCACCTCCTACTGTCCCCTTCACAACATCACTCCTCAGGTATGGAGAGGAAAACAGAATATAAAAATAAAATGCAGCTGTATTTTTCTTAACTGGCTTAACAGAAAATAGTCTTTTTGTTTGTGTTACCACTTGATGTAATGTTTTGCTTTATACATTTGTTTGCATTTGCACATACGTGTTTCAATCACCTCAATCATAGTTGAATGCCGATCAAATGCATTGACGGATGCTTTGAGCAGGTAAGAAACTGCAGGTGAGTCCCAACCTTTCTGGGACTCAGTCTTACCTGTAGGTGGACAAGGTTGGTGTATTTGATTTCAAATTTCCAATGCAATAAAAATTGTCCTGTACCTAATGCGAGGTAACTGACATCTATTTCAGCCAAAGCTGAAACCAAGTTTTAAATTCTCCTGGCTAACATTTTGGTCCAGAGCCATTATTCAAAACAGCTCTAGTTCAATTAGTGCTTTTCAGCCAGTTTTTGAAAACAACTAATGACATCTATTATAGGATGTTTGGTTTAATTCCATGAAAAACTGTAGGGACACATTGAGGGCCACTGATAATTAATACCTTTGGTAAACATCATAATGTAAACTACAGTATGTAATTTAAAATGCGTGTGTGTGACTGTGTTTGTGTGATACAGCATTACCCATCGATGCTGCTGACAGCCTACAGTGGTGACAACATGGTTCCTCTGGCAGGCGTTCTTAAATACACTGAACAACTAAAGAAAGCCATTCATACACACTCCAGCATGAAGCCAAAGTCGGGTACTCAAGTCATTTCTCCAAGTCTGCAGCCATGCATATTATTGTGTGTTTGAGTACCTCATTCTATGGGGGTGTGCATTTGTCTTTGTGTGCATCTCAGCATACATTGTCCTCGTCCTTTTAGGAGTAATTTCTGCATGATCAGAGGTTTTAATAGCATAGGGTCATCCCCCAATAGCAGTTTCAGTGTGCATGTTGGGAGAGGTAGCAGTAGCAGATGCATGGCTATCTGTCAGGGGAAGTGCTAACAGCATTTAAGTTGATGACCAAAATGTTGCATAGGTCACCTTGTAGTAAAGCTTGCCTCTGTGTATACATGCGTTTTGTGTGTGTGTGTGTCTGTGAGTGTGCGTATGCGTGCGTCAGCTAATTGCTCTAATTTCCCCCTGACAGGCTCTTTCTCCCTCTCACTTATAATCTCCCTTCACCACGTTGGTGGTACTCCTTATTTACACCCCTCTCTCTCGCACTGCCTCCTCTGCTCCTGTTTCAAATGCACACATTATCTCTCTCCGTTACTCTCGCTCACTTTTCTGTTGTTCACACATACACCAGGCAGCTTAAGTGTCTGTGTGTGTGTGTGTATATGTCTCCCTAATCTGTCTCTCTCTGTTCTCCGGAGTCTTTGATAAAGTGCTGATGGCATAGACACATCCAGGCGGGTGGGCAGGCCCATTAGCATGGTAAAGAGATAGTGTATCAGAGCAAGAGATTAGACGCCACAGACTGGGAGCTGTCAAGGTCAAGACCGCACTTGTGAAACAGTCCATACCACAGAGACAGGGAGGGGAGGCAGGGGGATATCAGATGGGAGGATAAATGAGTGAAAGCAAAGACAGAAGACTGAAAAAGATGATTTGGGGGGGAAATGGGCAGAGACGGGGAGCAGAGAAAAGAACATTTTAAAGAAAATGTTAATTTTAAGTATTGTCTTCTGCCCGTACTTGGCTCTTGAATCTCTTTGTGTATGTTTAATTTTAGAGTGTAAACCAGCACCAAACATAGCTCTGAATATCCAACCTGGAGCAAATCACCTTGGAACAGAAGACTTTGAGCTAATGCTGGAGGAGGTAAATTAATTTTCCTGAAGCTAAAACCTTCTTGAAAAGATCGATGTTTTTATTTTGCAGTCTTTTTAAGGACAAATTGATCTGAAAATTGGACACAAATATTTTCTGGTATGAGACATTTTTACTTGCTGAAAATTATGAGTTCTTAATGTCCCATCAGAATGCACACCAACACTGAGACATGAAATATTAGTAAGCACAGAGCAAGCGCTTGATTGCAATATACTATCTGTCTCACAGCTTTAAAATTAAGGTACAAAGTCAATTAAATCCTTTTACCTGTAGATGTGATTTTGTTTATTACAAATGCACCATGACGTCATGTACGTGTGTGATAAACAGCCAAATCTGAGAAAGCCTTCTTAATATATAATCTATAATTTGCCTTATGAATGTAAAAGTTTGAGTTTTAGCACTTGGATGGGTAATGAAAGATACATACTGTTTGTTTGTTTTTTATTCCATAACAAAGGAAGCCCTCAAGCTTGCATTTCTGTACATGGAGCTAGGCCTGGACCCTCCTCGGCCTCCACGCAAGCGGAGAAGATAGCGAGGCTATGAAGAAGCAGTCGGGCATGAAAAACAGAGCATCTTCCATCACAGCAACTAGACAAACTGGTGCCCAAATCTAATAATAATAACAGCAATTACACTTTCAAAGATAAGAAATCACTACCGTGTAGAGGAAACACCAGAGAAAGATCTTAATGCTTTGATTGTTTCTGTAATACAGCAGTTATTGGATACTCATCTCCATTTTTACTAGCATTTATAAAGTATGCCCATGGTCTCCAAATAGCAAGCCTTCTCAGAGATGTAGCACTCTTTAGGATGGTTGGGATTAAACCGAGTGTTGGTGGAGTACTGAATCACCAAACCCTCTCCTACTTCTGTCTGGATGCGAGACTTCAGAAACACTTTGCCATCATTGGCCATGTTGGTGCTTATCAGCACCTTTAACTTGTCTGGCAGCTCACGAACAGAGGAGAGATCTGTGACAGCTGATTCTTTACCAAAGTTAACCACTATGAGGAAAGCTCGCTTAAGTCCATCAAGCTCTCTGATGTAAGAGAAGACATTGGCATCAGCGTGGACGTAGCAGAACCATCCACGGTTAAGGGGGAGCTCTGATTGACGCAGGGTGTTCAGGAAGCGGTACTGAGCCAGAACAGAACCATCATCTTTCATCTGGGCCTGGGAATAAAGGAATGGGAGGAGGACAGATGAACCATAGAAAGATACACATAAGAAAATGATCTTTCTTCAAAGTTGAACATTAGAAAAACAGATCTATACCTCCACGTTGACTGTTTCATAATCGGGGTGTAGTGGCAACCAGGTGAGATTTGTTTTCTCATTAAAACCTGCGTTCATGTCAGCATTCCACTGCAATGGAGAACGCTGAGGGTCTCGACTGGCACTCTGCAGTGAAAGCAGAGGAATCATTTTGGTATATTTGCTCATGTATACAGTCGCCAGTGTATTAGATACAACAAGACTGCAAAAATGTCCTTTAAAGTAAAGACATTTATGTTGTTGTGTTTATTTATTGTTATTAATAAAATGGCATTAAACTGGTTATTTTTAAGGACCTCTCACAGAGATGTGTGACAGTGAGGGTTTAAAGGTTTCTTCAGTGTGTGCACAGTACTGACTGTATTGTATTTGCCGGCTGGGTCTTGTATCTGACTTGCTGTCACGTTAATGTTCTCCATGCCGATCTCCTCGCCGTAGTAGGTGGTGGCTGTGCCCGGAAGGGTCAGCAGCAGCATGTTGATGGCACGAACATAGAGTTGACCAGCACTGGAAGAAATCCGAGTCCTGTCATGGTTTCCAACCTGATAACAGTGTAGGTAAGACAAAAACAAGACAAAGGGTTGATTAAGAAATTAGGAAGTAAGGAGGTGGGCTGAAACATATTTGTTTTCTTAATATGTGTTAGGTGCTAAAGTCTGAAGATGCACATAAAGTAAAAAGGCTATTCTTTTGAGCCTAATCAATAATAATTACAGAAAATAAACATGCTTAATTTACTTTTACTCAGCTACTAATTATTTAACTTTACAGGAGTGTTTTTGTATTGACAAATTTAATTTCATTGCCTAGTGTTTGTCAAACTATCACTGCACAGGGGTTGATGATTAACAAATACATAAACCGACCTGTGGTTTAAAAGATATGACAACACAAGTGTGAGAAGCATGATCTCAGGCAGGCAGTCTACGAAGGATGACTCGACAGTTCATTCTTATGAATGCTGCCGACACATTCCTTAATCTGATGATTTCGGCATGTTATGTGCCACAGTATGCCGGACATGACGCTACTGATCCTGTGGTTTTTACAATTGTAAAAAGCGAGGAAATAAATATATAGAGTTTAAGAACTCACCACCCAGTTGGGCCATTTTCCTTTGGGCATGTTGCCCATCCAGAGGTGGACCAGATGCTTAGCCCATACTCCACTGGTGTTTTGGGGTAGATCCAGCAGGTAAAAGTTAAAGGGGAAGTCACCTTCCTTTTCCTGCCTGGTGCCATAGTACATCATGGTCTTGTACACCTCTTCATAATCGTATGACTCTATTACCATGAATCTGCAGCACGGGAGGAATTTATTTAGCATGTGATATGACACAGAAACCACGATGACTTGTGTCAGGATATTGTCTATTAGATGATTTTGTTTATCTTACTCTAAAATACCAGTGTGTCCTTATTTGAAATAATTGTAAAAATCTGGGCTTAATTCCTTATTCTAGATTTCAAGTTGCTTTTATTAGCATATTTAATGAAATCGTTTGGTTTGAACATTAGTGCATTGTATAAGCAAAAGGTCTTTAAAATTAAGGTTGATTGTGACATGATAATTACAGGTAGTAATAATTAAGTAGGCGAGTGCATTACAAGTTTATCTTTTCTGCCATAGTAATATTGAATGCACTTAATCACTTTCCTACCTGTATCTGCCAGGCTCTTGACTGTAGATGTCCATCTGTGCTCTAAACTCCCTCAGTATGTCGTGCAAGCCCACCTGACTGGTGGTGTAGTCACTGTGAAGATCCCACTCTGTAGTTACCAACTCCTGGGTAGAAATATGTATAAGGTTATGTAGTGATTATGCAATTTTAGTATAGCTTAGCTGCTTTCAGGCTGTGTGCTGGAGTTAGAGTTTGTATTTTCTTTGCTGAGTGAGAAACTGTGGATTAAGAAAGTTTCTGCTAATTCTTCAGATTTGTTATTTTTGTAACTGTCCAAATAAAATGGGCGAGAAAGGCAAAGGAAGAAAAAACATCTTGTTAAGTTCTAATTATGGAGGCGCTGAGGAAATCTGACTCACTGGACAACTATTGGTGTTACCAGAGTGTAAAGCATTGGGTTTACAGATTTAAGGGAATGAGCCATAGACCTGCACAGAGACAGTGATGTCACAGTTCTAAAATTACACCTAATGTGCATGTCTTTTTGTGAAAGATAATCTCAAGCCATTAAGCTGGCCTAATAACAGGCAAGTGAACCATTCAGCCAACAGCAACCACAGCATAAACCACTAAAGCAATAATGTAGAGACAGATGGTTTCTGATTCATATTTAACTGAATCACGACTGAGGATGTGATAAAATTCTTAACACGCCTATAAACTTTTACATATCTTTCTCAATTGCAGAATTGTAGTTCCAGTGGTTTGTCAAAATGCATTACTGTTTCTAAGATGGCAAAGAGTTAGTGTTGTTTTGTTTAGAGATTACCTCGTGGTTAAACATGATCAGACTGTAAAAATGTAACCTAACTGCAAATCTGTGGGTATAAATTCTCAGTCATCAGTGAGTAAAAGAGTCCCAGTGTTATGGTTTTACCCTGCAGTCGTAAGTAAACTCCAATGACTTGCTAATCCACCAAAATATGCTCCTTTGCTTCTAATCTTTCCTCTGTGAGAAATATCTTCAGCCTCTTTGACCTTAATTCAGCATGTATCACGAACCCTTTGAGTTTCACAAACAGTGTGTTCTTCACATGATTATGAAGCTGACATTTCAGCTAGAGATAAATAATCAGTGATACATCATAAACAGTGTGAACAGTCCCACTCAGCTTTTGATTATTTTTGTTCTACTAGCAACAAGGGAAAGTGCTTCTTCAGTAAAGCCGCTTTCATGGATCAGATCGTTAAATTTTGGACTCTGACATGTCAGATATTACATAAGTCAATAAAATCAAATTATGCCTGCATAACTCGAAGTTGCAGCTTGGATTCTTAGAACTGTTAAGTTCATCCACCACCTTTATCTGAGCAACGATGCACAGTTCTTGTCATTTAACCCCAAATTTGTTGAGCATTTTCCTTTTTCAACTTACTGCAGAACAAAGAACCTTATAGATGAAGTAGATATTTATAATGGATTGCATTTATATAGCGCTTTTCTCAGCACCCAAAGCGCTTTACAATTCCACTATTCATTCACTCTCACATTCACACACTGGTGCAGGTAAACCACAGTTGTAGTCACAGCTGCCCTGGGACAGACTGACAGAAGCGAGGCTGCCATATCGCGCCATATGGCAACACCAGTAGGCGGTAAGTGAAGTGTCTTGCCCAAGGACACAATCACCAGGACAGAGAGAGCTTGAAGGATCGAAAGGGCAACCTTCCGGTTACAGATGAGCTTCCCAACCCCCTGAACCACATTTAAAAGTTTTTCACTATAAAATGCTTTTTGCCTGTCGAAGTTTTTATTGGCATAACAGATATCATCTATCAGTTTCACATCAAAGGCTATTTATCTTAGGTTATAAAGTTATATCACATGTTGATGAAGTGCCAATGAGTAAACACGTGTGATTGCTTTAGCCAAAACGTGGCTCTGGTTTTCCTTTTTCCACCGTGGTGGCTGTTGGGCAAAATGAGCCCAGACTTAGGGGTAAATTGTACCAAAACAAATGCATAATCTTAAAATTGATTTTGCATCATAACAACTCCCAACTTAAAAATGCTTGAAAGTCCTAGCGCTTTTATGTCAGAGGAAAATGGCCCGACTGCTTTGAGCGGATATGAATCACAACAGTGACTCAAAAAAACATCATCACAAATAAGGTGTGCATAAGAGCGTCTCTGAATACCTAAAAACTTGAACCATGAAGCAGATGAGCTACAGCAGCAGAAGACCACACTGGTTGTCAATCCTGTAAACTGAGGTTACAATTCACATGAAAGCATGGATCTATCATGACTTTTATCAAAGGTTCAGGCTAGTGGTGGTGGTGTAGTGTTGTTGGAGATACGTTTTCTGAGTGTTATTTCTGTCTATCTCAGTATGACCTCAGTGTGCCCATCTATTGATTTTAGCTGAAGTCAACAAAACCAATGAGGTTAGATGTGTAGTTTAACACTCACGGGTGGTTTGTTTGGATCAACCTGTGGTTCATCCCTCATGTGTGGAGCCTCCAGCATGTGCTTCACTGCATCCATCCTGAAGCCATCCACTCCCTTCTCCAGCCAGAAATGAATAATATCCTAAAATTGAGGGGGAAAAATGTATATAGAGCAATTAAACTAGCATCTACATTATGTGTGAAAAGGCTGCAGAAAGATAAAATCATTCAACTATAGCAAAGACAGTTGAGTAGAAATAGTGTTTATGTACAGCCCATTATTGCTTCTGTTGTACTTTGCGCTGTGTGCAGCCACAATTAAAAACAAAGGTTAACTGGTACAAGTTAATGTATAATCAGTGTGTCACACATTGCTGTTAAAGGTGGACAAAATGATAATACAGTGAAAGACAGAACAGACGAAGAAAACACAATTTTAGCACATGCATCACTGAATGTATTTTAAGAAATGAGTCGGTAGCTGAGCTTTTGTGTGTCTGTGTGTGTGTCACTGCATGTTCCAGTAATCTTACAATCATCTCTTTGATGACATCTGGGTTTCTGAAGTTCAGGTCTGGTTGCTCCTTGAGAAACTGGTGGAGGTAGCATTGCCCTCTAACTTCATCGTATGTCCATGAGGAGTTCCCAAAGATACTCACCTGAGTGCAAGATGGGAAACAAATCTGATCTAAATTCCAGTACATTGCACCTTTTTAGTACTATGAACTTGGTGAAGGTTCTTGAAAATGTGCAGAAGACAAAATCATAGACCAGGTAGAAAATAACACTACAAGCACCAACCCAGTTATTAGGCTTCGGTCCGTCTGGTTTGCAGTCAGTCCAGACGTAATAATCCTCATAGTGAGGATGTCTAGTCCGGCTCAAGTTGAACCAGCGGTGTAGATCACTGGTATGATTGGGAATGAAATCCATGATCAGCTTCAAACCTGGTGGAAATGGAGACGGGTATTTGTGTGTCAAACATGCAGCCTGCTATAAAAAACAATCTTACTCCCCAAAACCACCTTCTAGCTTCACATTTTCACATAAACAAGGGTATTCAAAGTGCACACCTTTGCTGTGCATTGCTCCAAGGAGGTCCTCGAAGTCCTTCATGGTTCCAAAGAGTGGATCAATATCACGGAAGTCCTCCACATCATACCCAAAGTCTTTCATGGGAGAACGGTAGAAAGGGCTGATCCAAATTGACTTGATGTTAAGGTATTCAAAGTGGTCCAGCTTCTCCCTGATGCCTGTCAGATGGGAGATACAGGATCTACTAACCACTCTGTGCTGAAATTCAGAGTCCTAATAAACTGAAGGACTATGGATAGGAAAAGATAATACTGCATTGCATTAGTAAATTTTTATAGGAAATAATGCAATATAGTGAGAGCAGCTGTCATTTCCCTCTAAAAAGCATCTGCATATTTAATATTATAAATGAGCCATTGAAAACAACGAAATGCAGTTTTACCATTCCCTTTGTATACTTTACTAATGGTTAAATAACGTTAATAATTTAATCTTGTATAAGTGACCAAATATAAGAAATTGATAAGAGCAGCTGTTAGGTTGACAGAGTGAAAAATCTACCAGGACACGGTGTATACTTTGGCAAATTTTTGTAAATCCACAATCTCAGAAAGGGTGCTACATTGTTTTGTTTTTTTTTTTTAATGAAACCTGAAGAGTTCATAGGAGGCTTTATCTGGCAAAAAAAATCACAGCGATTTTGCAGGATTTCAATAGTAGGCTACTCAAATCTATAAGAGTATATGGGGAAGTATTTATAATATGGCCTAAAGGTGTTAAAAGTACAGTAGTTTGAAATGCACATTAAAATATGGGAACGCTCTAAGTGACTCAAAGGTGTAACAGTATGTGCCTTCCACTGTTGGAAGCGGAGCGTCATTGGTGTCGTCCATAAAAACACCTGTTTTAATGAAAATCTTCGAATAGTCGTTATCGGAGCTTGCAGCAGTGCTTTGGGTGTCTTACCTTTGAGGTCTCCCACCCCATCCCCGTCGGAGTCTTTGAAGGACCGGGGGTAAATCTGGTACACCGGGGAGGCCTGCCACCAGCTCAGGCACTTCGGAGAAAGCGCGATCACCGCGATGGTGACCGCCACCAGAGCCAGGGTGCAGCATACCGTTAGCCAGAACAGGATCTCTCGGGGCACTCGGTACCGGGCCTTAGAGGAGTACAGCACCAGCACCTCCTTAGGCATCCCGGCGTACGGTTTGATTTGCGTGTACTCATTTCGCGCGTCTGAGAGCCGCTTCACGCCGATGGAGTCCCGCTTCCCCTCGCTGTCGGAGACGCTGATGTTGTCCCTCGCTGCTGGCCCGTCTCCGTCTGCATCCTCATAACCCGGGTTTCTGGTGCACTCCCCGAGCTCCACGCTGTCGGAGTCGTTTCTATAACTCATGTTGTTTGTTAAAACGAACCGTGTCGGGTTGTGTAGCTCGCCTCAAGAACAATGAGTGACTCGGAGAGCGCAGATTAAATATCTGACTACAATCAAAAGGTCATAGTACATGGAGTAGAGCCTGTCTCTGACACACCTGTGGAATGTGGGAAAGTGGAGAGTTGATGGGACTGGTTACAGATTAGCGTTTTTTTCAGTACACAGTATTAACTACGACTGAGACATCAGTTACTTCAAAACTTACAAACCAAACAAAAGCACCAAGGCGCAAGATGCCTTTTAATATTGTAGGCGATAAAGATGCACCTGAACTAAATGTGTTTCCTATTTTGGGATTTTAAATAGATTTGAACTTTAACACCAACATTGAAATACAGAAGATATTTCAAAACCCCAAGAGCTACTCCATTTCTTTAATTTTTAGAAAACGCATCACAACGTGTTGATTAACATTTCCTTTCACAGCTCACAGATCCTAAACTGAAAAAATATACATAAAATACAACCTAAATCAAGGGTGTCCAACTTAAAGTTCTGGGCCCAAAATTGGACAGACACAGTCTCCAATCCGGCCCATAGGATGCCTTTGGAAAATGTGTTGGAGGGCATACATTTTTAGACTTTAACTGTGTTTTTGTAAATTTTACAGCTTTTCCTGCTGATCAATAACTTCTGTCACAGTCATTCGTACTACAATAAAGTGTTTTTAATTGTGTATCCATTACTTAATGACAGAAGTACAGTATTCCTGTTTGGGTTTTTTTACCATCTTTAGAAATTTCTGCAAACTAAATAGAAAAATTTGCTGTCAATTAACAAAAACGTCATTGTTTATAAATACGGGACATAAAGAACTTTATCTGTCTTTATTTTTTACACATTTATGTAGAAAGATGTACTGCTGAAATTGCACTTATATTATCTCAGGGATTAAATGTATACTTAAACTTCTTAACGCTGGCAGAAAGGGGAGTTTCACTCATCTGACTTTGTTCTAACAAATCTTAAAGTGTATATTTGGTGTGATCACCTTTATTTATTTTTAACACAGCCTCTTCTTAAATAACGTTTCAACGTTTCTTCTTTGGATGTTGGCTGCCTTTTGTAGTGTTCCTTATCAAGATGATCCCACATTGTTTCAGTAATGTTGAGGTCCAGCCTCTGGTGAGGCCAATCCATGGCTGATAGTGTTAGATTATTTTCCTTACCCAGGTATGCTTTAACTGTACTAGCAGTGTGTTTTTGGTGACCTCTATCCCCTGAGCCCTCCATACAGATTAAAGATCAAACTGAAAACCTTTGGAACTGGTCTCAGTTCCTACAAGTTAATGAACTGTTGTTGAGAGAAGAAGGGATGCAAAAAAATGTCTAAATATTTCAGGGACTTTTTTTAATGCT